TGACGTGCCACAGAGGATGATGCCTTCAGGCGTCACATATTTAATACAGACGACTGCATAAGTTTACTGAAACGTCAAACTGGAAAGAAACTGACCCCTGCAAAGTTTCTACAATGTCGTTGTCCTATAGGATTCAATTATAGGCTTGTCTATCACACAAATCCATGAAATTATAAAATATATCAACATGAACAGGCTCACAAGCAAACTAAGATGATTTGTAGTTACATATTCACAAGCTCTAAGCATCTTGTTGACCTAAATAAAGTTTTTTTTGTGATTGTAGATGATACAACACATACCAATATGTAAATAATAAAAGATAAGATCAACAGACTGACCACACTAAAATGATGAGTACACTGAGAACCCTAGATCTCTGAAGATCTATAACCTATACATAAGTGACCTCAATTGCTTGCCTCTGGATCTAAAGATATCACGATCTTTTGATTTGTCTATTGACACCAGCAGTACTGCAAGAAGGTACTGCTTATTCTGATAAGGAGTATTTTTTAAACAGTTGAGGTGTTGTACTACCGACTACATCTTAAGCAGAGGCAACACAATATGACTTTTCGTCTTGTATCTTGCCTCCACTTCATCTGTCGGAAGAGAAGAAAATAACAAATATTGGTATTGCGTTCATTTGTCACTATGCTAGCTGTTAATCTCCAGGGATCAGTCTATCTGTCACTTTGACCAGATTTCCTGCTAAATGACGGATTGTCAGAGGCATAAAACTACCAGATGGTGAATTTATTTCAATTATACAAAAAAATGTAAAAGCTTTCCAATATTAACATTATTTCAACACTTTCGCTCATAACCTTGATGTCATAGCCCTGTATAGACATATTGATGAAGACCTCTGACAAAGTGCGACACCTGCTGGTCAGGCTTGGTTAGTATGGTTGATGCCAAGTCATATATATTTCCATTCCATTGTTCTTAATTGTCCATTTATACTGTTTATCTATCTACAAAAAATCCCTGTTTGTCTTTCTGTCATGTCATGTGTATTGTTAGGGCCTAAGGAAGTGCAGTATCAAATTCAATTGGACACATGGTTAATTAAATATGAATAATATTGAATGAACAGGATAATGGTGCCTCCGAGTCATCAACATTCATAAAGTAACTTCCTCTTTAGCAATTTCAAGCTCTATAGCTAACTAAATAATAAAGCTTTTAGTGACCTTGGGTTTGAAAATGGTGTCGATTGAGACCTAGCGAACAAGTAATGTATGAGACAAGTAACTATATATAAACCAATCACATGAACAGAAATAGATCATTTTATTGTGTGCCATAATGACAATGGAGCAGATTATACCTTTAATTTTTTCAAAAATTATATTGTAAACTTGACATGCAGACACAAGGTGTCACATGAGCTGGAGTGAGACAGAAGTTATTTGTCACCTGTGAAAGACTTTAAAATGAATATTCAATAACAACTTATTTACATAATGAAAACTGAGCTGACTTTGCCTACATTTTCTCAAAATTATACAGTAAAATCTCATGAAACTTGACATGCAGACACTGGGGGTCACCATGAACAAGAGTGAGGTGAA